AAAAAAAAATGGGAAAAGATTTGCTACAAATTTGATCGAAGAAGTGAAGGTCTCAGAATTCCTAACTTATGGAATCAGATATGCCCGGTCTAACAAGTTGAAGATTGAATAAATCACAATAGAACCCAAAACAGTCAAACAGTGTTGATGCTTCTTCACCTTACCTAACTCCAACTTGTCAGAGATAATTTCAAGTCTGAATTCTGTGAGGAGATTTCCTGATCCTACACGGCTAATTCTGAGTTCTTCAGTATACGAGTCACCTCTAACTTCCTGCAGAGCCAAACAAAGCACGACCAACCACATCCTCCCCTATCCAAGTAGGAAACTTTATGGGACACAACAATAATAGTTTATATTGTTGAAGGCGGTAAAAAGTAAAAAGAACAACTTGATTCGATGTTAGGAAGCATCAACAGAGGACAACTATTTATTTCAAATGCCAAAAAGGCAAGGTTTGAGCAACAAAGTACAATTTCCCGATACAGAGTCCACGTTCAATCACAGTATATTATGAAATTGAAAGCTTGAAAAGTAATGTTAATTAATATAGCGGTGGATGAGTTCTAGAGAGAACTAACAATGCCACACAAAAAATCCAGCAGGCGCACAGCTCGCTAATAAGTTTAGTAGGTAGAAAAGGTAATCATATTCATGCACCAATTTCGAAACTTTTAATTCACTGGTTCAAGCGAATAGATGCTTACCGCTTACTGGAAGCAAAACAACTTCATGGAAAAGCTGCAGGCACAGAAACTCAAGCATCCTTCGATAAAATTCACAAACCATAGATGTTTGAGAAAAATACTCTAGAACAACGATTCCATAATCAACTGAAATTACAACGCGCTCAAATCCAAGTAGGGAGGGGAGCAAGATAAAACTAATATTTCCGTTTTCTTTTTATTTTATTTTTTTTTCATCTTTTTGCAGCGAGAAAACAAAATTGTGTAGGAAAATGCGGAGTTAAACAGATGATCGGAACACTGTTAAGTGGTGTGCACCTCTCACGCAGAAAAAAAAATGATTATGACAGAGTATGAATGACTAGTATTTACAACACTAATAGGTGATATCACTGAACCCTCTTCATCGAGAAGCCGCATGATGCCTCCACTTTAAGAATGAACGGACCTTCTTGCCCAGCCTGTAATACACAATTAAAATGTATTAAAAAATGGGAGAATAGTAAACTAAAGTACCAAAAACGTCATCGGTCGAATGCTGTACACACCAGCAGGAACTTTTTCCAATGCAAGTATAGTGTACCCAGGCCTGAAAATAAGCAGTAAAAGTCATTTGCTTCAACCTTGCTCTGATAAGGCAACATAAGTGTACCTATAAACTCCTGAATCCTTCTTTTCGAATGGTATATTTCTTGGCGATGAAACCTGAAGAACCTCAAAGCCAACGCTATACTGTTTTGGACCTTTAAGATCGATCAGAATTAGATTTTCATCACTGCTCTCTTCCAAACTGATGTGAAACAAAGGATTGTTTCTAAAAACAATAATTTAATCTGCTATTTCATCAACAAATTTGTACTGTATTATAAATGAGGACAAAACAAACTTGTACGTCTCTCTACTGAGACCATTCCCACATCCTCCAGCGCTGCGTCCTTCCCATTTCCCCGTTTCCTAGATATTTTCAATAATCAATTAGTACCCAACAAGAAGAGGAGCTACACGAATAACTCACTGTTTTCTTAACATTATAAAGGCTTTTAAGAGGACTCAGGTGAAACGAAGAGGAGGAGTAAACGCGAAGAGTGTAATAGATTGTCCTCATTTTCTCGTACTGCAAAGATTGAATTGGGAAACAAGCTCAGCATAGAATGAAAATGAAGATACCTGAGCAACAACCAAGGTGTATTTATGTAAACCTGGTTCATTAATCACCATTTGACAAAGGAAATGCGGACTGTTAATACGTATGCCCTCATAAAGCGGTTTCGGATCCGCTGAAATTACATATAGCACAGTAAAAGAAGAAGTAAATAGAAGTTTTCCTACTTGGTATGTAGACCTTCCTCCCTGACTTGTAGACTAACACAGTGATATACTCTTTGTTTTCAGCAAAATCCGCCT